TAATTATCTTTACATTACGAAAATTCATTTCCCGCCTGCCCGCCAACGGCGGGCAGGCTACACCCGACCCTCTAGTTTGTATAACATTAAGAGTATATCGTGATCTGTGAACCCCGATTATTGGCTCATGTACTGCATAGGTATGTACGACTTAACAGTCTCTGTCTTGTAGTTAACTCACAATGTCGCAACATCCTTTTCAAACCTGGCAGAGTCAGCCGATCTATCAACAGCAAGAACAACAGCAGCAACAACAGCAGCAACAACAGCAGCAACAACAGCAGCAACAACAGCAGCAACAACAGCAGCTTAATTCTCCAATGCAGCAGGAATACATTGATGTCTCAAATCAGTATTTATTGCAAGCAGGACAACTGTCTCAACAATACCAATCATCGCTCAACTTTTCACAATTGCCTACCTTCGATGGTCTGCCAACATATTCTATTTTGCAATTGACAAATGAACAACAAATGCCGGCGTATATAGACGATTCCAATCTGGCTGTGCATGAGCAATTAATTACAGGCTCTATTCAGCAACAGAGCGACACTCTATCTACTCGGCAAAACCAGCTTACGCATCGGCAGCAGCGTCAACAACGGTGGTTGCCGCAGTACCCGTATTCGAGGCAACATGAAGTACAGACATCAAACGAATTATTGACGCTGCCAAACGGATTATTTACGCTGCCAATGCAATCTGAACATCAATTGGACCGACAAAACACGGTTCAAGGTATGCATGGAGTTTTTCCAATCGAGCAATCGGAGTATTTCCAACCACAGGTTCGTATATTTCGGTTTACTGTGAGATAACTGTACCAAGTTCACACATTCGCATACTATTATGACATTATAGGTCTATCCAACGGGTAGTCCAAGTATCTTTCAGTCGCAAGTAAACATTCAGCAAGTGTCTCTACAACAAAGTAACTTTGATCGATTAGGAAACGGGTTTCCAAATACATCTTCCCAGATGGAAATCGACGAGCGATCTTCGCGATCTCAAGTAATCGGTCAGCGAGGCCCTAATAACGTATATATGGAATGGATAAACAAAAGTATTCAAGAGGGTTTTATCCGCTGTTATTCAGAAAGAGATATTAAAGTGGGACGTATACCTATCGCTACTGGTTCATATGGAGCAGTATTTAAAGCAACAATGAAAGGCACTGGAATGCCTGTCGCAATAAAAACTTTGGTTCGGCGTTCGGGTGAATGCGAGGAAAAATTGTCTAAAAAGTTAGCAAAAGAGGTTGTTTGTTAATTTTTTGCTTAGTATCGTACGCCGTTTTATTGTTATCGATTTATAGCTAATAATTTACATACGATTGGTATACATAGTTGAAAAATCACAAGAAAGTGAGCGGTCGTCCGAATATTATCCGATTTCTAGGTGTCTGTAAGTATACTCATGTTCCCGTAATTTTGTTATTATTATCTGTGTATTTCTATACATTCTGACATATTAATATATATTTCCAAATCTAAAGACGAAGATGATGGTTATCATATGATTTTCGAGTATGCTAATGGCGGAACTTTGCGTAACCACTTGATGCAACGTTTTTGTAGTTTAACTTGGAAAGACAAGTACAAGCTCGGTTTGGAAATTGCTAATGGTCTGAGATACATGCATGAAATTGATATCATTCACAAGGACTTGGTAATCTTAATCTGTGATTACACTTTATGTTGCTCACCATTATTATTATATTAATTATTATAAGCTAATAATTGTTATGTTATTTGCAGTCTTCCTTCAATATTCTTATGAAATCTGGTGTTGCAAAAATCACTGATTTTGGTCTATCTGGACAGATTATGTCCTCAGCTACAGGTGAAGGTACTGCAGCATACAGAGATCCCTTATCATTTAAAGATCAATCATATAAACGCGGAAAGAAGTCTGACATCTTCAGTCTTGGTGTGCTGCTCTGGGAAATTTCTAGTGGGAAAATTCCTTGTAAAGATTGTGCAAGTGTGACAAAGTATAGAGAAAATGGCTATCGAGATTCTCCTTTTCCAGGAACACCAGAAATGTATGTTCAGCTATATTCAGCATGTTGGAGTGAAAATCCTGAAGAATGACCATCATGTGAAGAAATACACAAACAATTAAAACTGTTATCTGATAATAAAAATCTGCATTTACCAGGTAGAACATTAGATCTTTCTCATAAGCTGAGAGGTGAAGGAGTAACAGCACTGATAGTTGCTTTAAAATCAAACCCTTCTGTTAATTCTTTGATACTATCTGATAATATGATTGGAGTTGCAGAAGTAACAGCATTAGCAAAGGTTTTAGAATCAAATTCCTTACTGACTTTTTTTGATCTTCAGTCTAATCAGATTGGGGATGCAGGAGCAACAGTATTGGCAAAGGCTCTAGAATCAAATTCATCTCTGACTTCTTTGGATCTTCAGTATAATCAGATTGGGGATGCAGGAGCAACAGCATTGGCAAAGGCTCTAGAATCAAATTCATCTCTGACTTCTTTGAATTTGAGGGGAAATCAGATTGGAGATGCAGGAGCAACAGCATTGGCAAAGGCTCTAGAATCAAATTCATCTCTGACTTCTTTGAATTTTCAGTCTAGTTGGATTGGATATGCAGGAGCAACAGCATTGGCAAAGGCTCTAGAATCAAATTCATCTCTGACTTCTTTGAATCTTCAGTC